AGACGGTACGTTGACCAAATGTAGTCTATTCTGATAGGTGTGCACATGAGGCTGATTAATGATTATGGATAGGAGATGGGAAATTTGTTGTCTATGTTCATACTTGTGACCATGCCATATTTACTTTTTGTACTCACTTATTATAACTGTTCATGCGCATAGCGGTGAGCACAACGGATTCTATCTGTGCTCATCCCCACCTGCTCTTCATGGATGCAGGTTGAGCAGGCGACTGCATGGCGGCAAGAGATGAGTGGTGGTCGGTCGTTTGACCGGACCTTATTGTGTAACTTCCGCTTTGTTATTATATTATGATTATTTTTGTCATCGTGTTTAACTCTGGGTAATTATGATCTTGGATTTTGAACTCTGGATTATCTATGATATGAGAAATGCGAACACTGGTTTGGGGAGATGCCCCGTTTGCTAATAATCGATTCCTGAACTTTGTTTAAAACACTTTTAGGGTGGTTTCAATTTATCTCTGGGTATATGATTATGTTTAAATTACTTGCGAGTAATTGATATGTGCACGTTCGAAATTGTTGATTATATGTCGAGTAACGCCAAACAATTTATGAAAAGAATTAAAAAAAAAAAAATCGTTGACTTTTCGAAAAGTCCTTGACTTTCGTCAAATAAAAATGGGGCGATACATTTAGGATGGGAAACCCGACGGTACCACTGCATGTACTCCGCAGTCGCCTCTGCTCGATCATATGTGCTGACCTTATACATATTGGAGTTGACGGTATGCGATACCTGGAACTGGTTCCACATAGATACTGTAGTGACATCAGAATGCTCAACCTTGTAGAGCCTCGACTCCCAAGGACGGCAGGCACTGATTGGCGTGAACATAGGGGGAGGGACTGTCTGGACATACCCCAACTGCCGCAGAAACTGCACAGGAAAGTACGGCTCGACGATATCACGGTAGCGAATTAACCCGCAATAAAGAGTCCTCTGCTCTATCTCATGTGGGCTGAGGTGTCGTATGGCAACCATTGCACCTGTTCACAATTGCATAAAAGTATTTATAAAAATATTTATATTATATTAAATAACGGGTAACTAAATTTAAATAAAATAACTTTACGTACATCGGAGGCAGTGAGCATGTCAAGTCTCCGACGGATGGCTATAAGACGCTCGTACTTCCTCTGACCCGCCGGTGGGCTCCACATCTGTGATCGTGCAGAGTCTAGGACCAAGGGATAGACACCCCCCTGGGGTCGGAAATCGGGGAAGTACTCATAATCCAAGACTGCATAAGAGTCAAGCAGCCGGAAAGCTGTCTGGAGTCCCCTCTGCTGGCAATACCTAACTGTCGGTACAAATATGCCAGCATAGCCGATCCCCACAAGTAACCCCCAATGGAATCCACGCTGTTAAGCACCTCAGCTAGGATCTTGGGAGTCACTCTACTACCACTCTTGTCGCCGAACAAGCTGGTAGACAGCAGCAACCAAATCCAGGCACAACCTCATCCAACGCCAACTGGTTTGTACCCCTGAATTTCTCCACAACGAAGCCTTCTTCCACAAAACTGTGCTGCCAGAACGTCCAACGAGGTCAGCCTTACTTACGAAAGTATATCCATGCAGTAAGCCTTGCAGGCCTTTGTATCCGGCTCCTCAACGACCATGGATCCCTCAACAGGAATGTCCAAAATGGCCCGGACATCGTGCAACATAATGCTCATTTCACGAAAAAGAAGGTGAAACGAGTTAGTATCTGGCTGCCATCGCTCCACAAATGCAGTAAGCAGTGGAGTGTCCAAGTGGGCTGTGACGCCCCGTTCGTTTATGAATAATTTGGATTATTGTTATTATTATTATTATTTTTATCATTAATTGTGGCTATTATTATTGAATGTTAATTGTCTAAATGCTTAAA